CAATCGTAAACAAACAACATTTAACCACGTGGTTCTATATATCTTCTATACCAATTATGTAATCCATTAAGGCTGTCACGTGATACATTGATCATTGTTTTATCAATATTATGACGTGGTTAATTGTGTTTATTTACGATTGGTGAATGATGTCCATTAAGATTTGGGCAATGAGCAAAGTATTTGGAACACAAACCAACTATTTTTTCCTACCATTAAATAAAAAAAGATTTATTGGTACATATAAGAAAAAGTCACGAGATAGAAAGGAGGGACGCACACACACAAAACTGTAGTACTATTATTGTAGCCTACATTTGGAAGCTTTGAAATATATGAAAGACAAAAAAAAATCTTTTTTCAAAAAACTTTCCAAGTAGTATGTTTTGTTTTTATTTGTTTTTTTTGTTTCATAACTTTGTGAAAAGTGTTACTTGTGGCGGATGGATTTCTCACCACGCGCTTCTCCGTCACTCAATGGCGTAGTGATTCCTTTTGAAGTCGGGCAGACGTAGAAAGACGAATGCCGCGAGTAAATAGTTTCTATTATTGCATCAAAGGGAGAGAAACTCGTTGTTTGTGTTTGTGTTTCTGCGTCCCCCGTGTGACAAATTGCGTTGGTAAACTATTCCCCAGATTTTGGCGTAACGTCGGGAATTTGTTACTTTTCCCTTCCCCCCCCCCCCCCCCCCCCCCCCCCCTGTTTTTTTTTTCTTCATCCTTTTTTTTTTCTTTTTTACTTCGTTTTGAGTTGCTAGTCAGTCAAGTAGAACGCACGAAGTAAGGAACTATCTGGGGGGGGGGGGGGGGGGGGGGAACTGTATGTTAAACAATAGTAACAGAAACTACTATAGTTAAATACTATTTACTACACGCCTTAAATGTTAGAAAAAAAGTAGTATATTGCCACAATAGAGAAAGTCGTACATTGATTGTCTTTTAATTGAGAAATATACATATTTGAGAATGAACAGACAATGAAGACCAAGAAATGAGAAAGTTATTTTTTTCTTTTATATAAGACCACATCCCTCCCACACTTTTCCTTGCTCTCTGTACTTGCCTCTCTCTCTCTTTCTCTCTCGCTTTCTCTCTCTCTCCTTCTTTCTCTCTCTCTTTTCCTCTCTCTCTCTCTCTTTGTCTCTCTTTCTCTCTCTCTTTCTTTCCCTCTCTCTTTTTCTCTCTCTCTGTGTTTGACCATCTCTCTCTTTCACGCCATCCCTCTAATTCTTTCATCGTTCCTTCTCTGTTTTTAACTTCATACACCTCAGAGCACATGTGAGCATTTAAATATCAACTCTTTATTTACATTAGCTTTTGCAGTAACAGACCAGTAGGAGGCGCAGTGGCTGAGCGGTAAAGCGCTTGGATTCCGAACCGGGGGTCCCTGTTTCGAACCCTGGTGAAGACTGGGATTTTTTTATATCGGGATCCTTGGGCTCCAACTAGCTCTAATGGGTACCTGACATTAGTTGATGAAAAGTAAAGGCGGTTGGTCGTTGTGCGGGCAACATGACACCCTTGTTAACCGTAGGCCACTGAAACAGATGACCACAAGGTCTGAAAGGGAAACTTTTACTTTTTTTTTTTTAAACAGACAAAAACCAAAACTTTTTGGGCACTGACATTTCTTATACTTCACTAGACAGTCTGTTAGTTTACGCGGGTATCTCCTGTTCTCAGAGTTGCGACTCGCTCTCCCTTAAATAGTGCTGTCAACGTGTAGAGTCAAAGCAACATGCGCCCAACTCTTCAATGCATAGCACCGTCTCTTTGAAACAAGCTCCTCCTTGGCGTTGTCTATCCTTATCAAGACTATCGGTTGACGTATTGGTTATAGCTTCATAGAACTAGAAATGCATAAAGTGTAAAAAAAACGGGAGTCTTGTGTCCAAAGCGAACGAGCGGAATGTGGAGGCTGTATCTCTCTTCCTTTTGGCTCGATTGTCATGTCTCGCCTAAGACATACACAGCGATGACAAGCTTCAGGAGAATGTCTTTGAAGTGCGTCAGCCAGAAACACAATTTGGCGGAGACTGCAAGGGAAACGCGACTGGCATTGCACGCATGCGCAGTCGGAGCGGATAGTCAATGTCGCACGAGACAATGGGAAAGACTTGAAGGGTGTCTGTTCTCGTGAATCTGTTTATTATACATCGCAATATGAGTTATATGACAAACTAAATCTTAGTTAAAATAAACTGATATCATATAGTCTGACCAGGACTCGGTGTACCAAGAAAGTAGCCTAAATATCTATGAACCCTTGTTAGTGTAACAATACTTTGGATACTATAAGATACTTTTTAAGGTCAAATGTCAACTTTACAAATGTTCCCTCTATTTTTCACTTGTTCATCCAATTTCTTCCCTTGTTCCTTATACTTCATGTTTGTTCCCTCTGCGTCCATCTTATTATGTATACGCCCCTCTTATTATCTATACGTGAAGTACGTCCGTCTTATTATCTATACATCCCTCTTATTATCTATACGTCCGTCTTATTATTTATACGTCCGTCTTATTATCTATACGTCCATTTTATTATCTATACGTCCGCCTTATTATTTATACGTCCGTCTTATTATCTATACGTCCATTTTATTATCTATACGTCCCTCTTATTATCTATACGTCCCTCTTATTATCTATTCGTCCTTCTTATAATCTATACATCCCTCTTATTATCTATACGTCCCTCTTATTAGGATTTGCTTATTTATTTCTTGCAATAACTCCAAGTCACAACTTTATGAAGGCGGAGAAAAGTATGACTAGCTCGTTGGCCACACGGCTTTAGTTTGACCGTTATCATATTTCAAGTGAAAATGAAAAAGATTTGAATTAGGCTTAGTCAGCCGCGTGGCACCGATAACTGAGTTCTTTATTAAATTCAATAGTTGCTTAAATTGATAGATTATCTAAGCTTTGCTTAAATTTTTACGTAAATCTAATATAGCTTACGTCTAGTTTCTAGGTCTAGAAGTACATCTAGATTAGATCTTAAGAGTTCTAAATCAGGTACGTGTAATGAAGGTACCAATAATAACTTTCTTATACAATGCCCGATGCCTGCCTGCTGACCTAATGGACCTCATTCACCAATCGTAAACAAACAACATTTAGCCACGTGATTCTTTTTCTCTTCTATACAAGTTACGATCTAATTTTTAATACTCAATGGTTATCACGTGACAGTTTTTTTTTCGTTGTTTTATCAATATTATCACGAGTTCAATACCCAGTATGAGCTAAATTTTTTTTAAAAATTATTTTTCAGAAAATATTTCATTATATTTTAATTTGCATTTTTTAATTTTTTTTAATTTTTCTTATATTTTTCTTGACCATCTTTGTTTTCTTTCTTCTCCTTTTGTTCCATGTAGTTTCCTATTTTCTTCTTGTTCCTTCTTGTATTATCTTAGTCCCTCTAGTTTCTCTTGTTCCTTCTTGTATTATCTTAGTCCCTCTAGTTTCTCTTGTTCCTTCTTGTATTATCTTAGTCCCTCTAGTTTCTCTTGTTCCTTCTTGTATTATCTTAGTCCCTCTAGTTTCTCTTGTTCCTTCTTGTATTATCTTAGTCCCTCTAGTTTCTCTTGTTCCTTCTTGTATTATCTTAGTCCCTCTAGTTTCTCTTGTTCCTTCTTGTATTATCTTAGTCCCTCCAGTTTCTCTTGTTCCTTCTTGTATTATCTTAGTCCCTCTAGTTTCTCTTGTTCCTTCTTGTATTATCTTAGTCCCTCTAGTTTCTCTTGTTCCTTCTTGTATTATCTTAGTCCCTCTAGTTTCTCTTGTTCCTTCTTGTATTATCTTAGTCCCTCTAGTTTCTCTTGTTCCTTCTTGTATTATCTTAGTCCCTCTAGTTTCTCTTGTTCCTTCTTGTATTATCTTAGTCCCTCTAGTTTCTCTTGTTCCTTCTTGTATTATCTTAGTCCCTCTAGTTTCTCTTGTTCCTTCTTGTATTATCTTAGTCCCTCTAGTTTCTCTTGTTCCTTCTTGTATTATCTTAGTCCCTCTAGTTTCTCTTGTTCCTTCTTGTATTATCTTAGTCCCTCTAGTTTCTCTTGTTCCTTCTTGTATTATCTTAGTCCCTCTAGTTTCTCTTGTTCCTTCTTGTATTATCTTAGTCCCTCTAGTTTCTCTTGTTCCTTCTTGTATTATCTTAGTCCCTCTAGTTTCTCTTGTTCCTTCTTGTATTATCTTAGTCCCTCTAGTTTCTCTTGTTCCTTCTTGTATTATCTTAGTCCCTCTAGTTTCTCTTGTTCCTTCTTGTATTATCTTAGTCCCTCTAGTTTCTCTTGTTCCTTCTTGTATTATCTTAGTCCCTCTAGTTTCTCTTGTTCCTTCTTGTATTATCTTAGTCCCTCTAGTTTCTCTTGTTCCTTCTTGTATTATCTTAGTCCCTCTAGTTTCTCTTGTTCCTTCTTGTATTATCTTAGTCCCTCTAGTTTCTCTTGTTCCTTCTTGTATTATCTTAGTCCCTCTAGTTTCTCTTGTTCCTTCTTGTATTATCTTAGTCCCTCTAGTTTCTCTTGTTCCTTCTTGTATTATCTTAGTCCCTCTAGTTTCTCTTGTTCCTTCTTGTATTATCTTAGTCCCTCTAGTTTCTCTTGTGCTTTCTACCCTTTTTGTTTCTCTTCTTCACTCTACTTACCTCTTCATCTGTTTTTTTTCCTCTCTTCTTCCTCTGTATTGTTCCCGCTATCTCTCTCTTGTTCCTTCCAGTTCCTCAAAGGGCTCTTTAAAAATTTATTTATTTTTTTAAGTTTTTTTTTTGGGTCCGACTAGAAAATAAAAAGCCATATTTTGTCAATATTATTTTGTATTGATAGCTACGTGTATTTGCTTCTTTCCTAACGCACGAGACATTTAATATTTTTTAGAGGTAGGCTTAAAGCGGTTTCACAGAATCAGGACAGGTAAATGGAAACCAGCAAAAAGGTCAAAGTCTATTGCTAAAATTGATGAGTCCAACATACCCATGAGTTTACATGTGTGTCACCCATTTACCCTGGAGAACCGAGCGTGTGTAGTGCGTTGTAATCCACAACTCGATTCTTGGGGTCAGTTAGTGACGTCACAATTCTCTTCAAAGGGGGATAATTGGAAAAAGGCAGACCTGTTTGAGAGACCTTTTATGTCTTTAACAAAAAGCAGGTATGTGAATGATACTCAGTTATGTCTAGAATAATAATATTGTAATAGTTAATATATTTTTAAAAATAATTAAAAATACAGTTTTAAAATAAAAAATTATGTAAAATTATCATATTACCATGCACAACCTAACCACTCAACGTAGTCCAATTGTATTAAAAAAATTAAAATATGTCTTAACATATATGGTATTGTACATGTAATGTACTGAGCGCCTAAAGGCAACACGGAAAACAAACTCCCAGATACCCCTCTCCCCCCCCCCCCCACTGGTCCACAAATGAGATAGGACCAAAAGCTCTCTGAGCATGCTATATGCATGAAAGTAGCGCTATATAAAAGCTATAATAATGTTTACTTTAAAATGAAACTCTCTATCTCACTACCATGATTAAGACCACAAATCTTAGACGACCATAAGAAATAAAGGGTGGTTCCCTGACCTCCCTTGGTTCCTTTAAGCCCACCAACTAAGTTAGTTGACGGCAAGGAAACGAAAGTTGTGTCATACGTAATGCTTTTGTTATAGCTGTCGTGAACCAATGACTCTTGTTTATAATTGTACCCAGGCTTTGCTTTTGGGAGAACCAAGTTCTTCACATCGTTAAAAGGAAACTCCGACGGTTTTTCAAATTTGAGTTATTGACATATTTGAATTCTGCTTCAAAAGTTGTAATAGTAAACATTTTACCATTTTTTTTATTTAAAGGCTTAAAAAATTATATTTAATAAATTAGACGGTAAATTCTTGGCATCTCCAAGAAAACGGGGTTCTATGATATTTTGATTTTAGGTTAGGCATACGTCACTTCCATCAACAATACTGAAAAGGAAACTAGATTTAACCAATCGTATCGCTTCATTCTTACAGGCTCTTGGGCTTAGTGACGGCCTATTCCAGAGCTATAGTACATTTATATATACATGTATAGGTAGATCTAAAAGCATTAGGATAACCAACTCGAGAAAAAAAGTAACATTTTCATCTAAGCCTCTCCTTTTCATATGAAGTAAACAGATCGTGTGTCTGACCGATTCGAACAAACTGGTCAGTGTAAGGCTAGTCGAGATTACGTGTAGTCGGTCATGACAAGACAACCAAGCGATAGTGTTTGTTGTGTGTTGAGAGGTCAGGCGAGAAAATACAGACTGCCGTGGTTAGTCAAGCATGTAAATCTACTTTTAATGCGCATTTTATCTTTGCTTACAAGATCCTAGATTTAACTGCATAGACGAAAGTATATTTCTTTTACGAGAATGTAAACTTTGCTGTATCGTCTCCCGTTATACAATAAATCAATATATTAAATAAGTAGGCTAGTGTGACGTCACATAGAAACCGGGTGAATGTCTGACTGTTTTGGATGCGCATGAAAATTACGTCAGAAAAACATCAATTACTAAGTTATTATTGCAAATAAAAAAAAAAAAAGAATAATATATTCATTATCTGTAAATCAAAACACATTATATAAAAATTGTCAAAACTATCGAAGTTTCCCTTTAATAGACCAAAATAACTAGCACATCTCATTGCTAGAGTGGTACAGTGATGACTCTATCCTCACTCAAAATCTGGAACAGTTGGGGTACCACACATAATATGTCGACTGTCTTTCTCCATTCCTCCCTGACGTTTGCCTTGAATAGAATCTCGAAGCGTGGTCGAGATGCTAAGTACGCTTGAACTTGTCTTGTCTTGGCAACCTATGAAGGGGGCCCGATTCGAGCAAGGTTGTGTTTACTGAGCGCCCAAAGGCAGCACGGAAAAACCTTTTCCCAGATACCCCCTCCCCCCCCCCCCCCCCCCCCACACAGTTCCACAAATGAGATTGGACCAAAGCGCTCTGAGCATGCCATAAGCATGAAAGTAGCGCTTTAAAAAAAGCAATAAAGAATAATGAATTAATCTCTTTCAATGACATGCCCGTTCGTTCCTTTACGTTGTCTTCCCATCTTATCTTATCTTATCTTATATAATACAGACGTTACTTCAAAAAAGAAGATGATTACGTACCATTGCTTTCTCTGTTTGCCTCTTCTTCTTTTTCCTGGAACTGATGGAAGTTAGTTCAAACCCACGAGGACCTTGTGATATGGCCATGGTTAGCAGATCATCCCAAGAGCCTTTGTGATCCTGTTTCTTATGTCTTCGCTTGTCTATGTATGTGATAGCTAGGGTCCTCCTCTCTAGTTCTTTAGTTAGCGTCCAAGACTCGCAAACTTACATCAATATGACCAGGGCCGGTCCTAACATTTGCGGGGCCCAATGCGGAACAGATTGCGCGGGGCCTAGTCTAGGTAGGGATAGGCATACTGTCAAAGTTTAGATTTTGTTTTAGAAAATACATTCGTCTTTACAATAAAATAAAGCTCAAAATGTTGTTTTTTTTTTTATATAATGACATTCCAAATTGACAATTTCGTCTATTTTTCATTAGATTTTTATGAGTTTTCAGGAGATTTTAATAATTTTAATAAATCAAGAGGCCGCGAACCCCTGTTATTATGTATAAAGTTATAGTGTTTTAATTTAATAATTTACACACAAAATTAGCGCTGGGCCTATGAAAGTGCGGGGCCCACTGCGACCGCATAGGTTGCAGTGGCTTAAGACAGGACCTGAATATGACCATGAATAACGAGCACATGAGTCTGATTTTAGTGTCCAGGGCTATGCCTTTGTCTTTGCAGATTGTTTCGAGCTGAGGTCTGTGCTGTTCTAGCCAGAAGTTCAGGTTTCGTTCCTTCCTAATTTCTTTTTTTTTTTATCGACTTTGATTTGCATACCATTTAAGTTGTTAGACATTGCGATCTATAGGGCAGATAATGTAAAGGTCATCTGTTTCTGTGACCCAATGTTAACGAGGGTGTCATGTGGCCAGCACAAAGACCAAGCTTCATACTTCATGACTGCCCCCCCCCCTCATTTCGTCTTCCCTTGTATATATATTCTCTCTAAAATAGGTTTCTCCAATAGACAAGATAGAACGAGAATCGGTAAGATACCTGCTTACTTTTAGCTTACTTTTATATTACTTTTAGCTTACTTTTAGATTTCTATTAGATTACTTTTAGCTTACTTTTAGATTTCTTTTAGATTACTTTTAGCTTACTTTTAGCTTACTATTAGATTACTTTTGCTTTTAGCTTACTTTTATCTTTCTTTTAGATTACTTGACTATTTTTTTTTCTTAATTTCTATCGGAACTTTACTGCCGTTTTCAGATATGTAAAAATGGTCTTTATTGTTCATACAATTAAAACAGCCTTGACTTTGACACATAGTATTACGTGTCAGATCTTTAAAATCAAACCCATAAAATATTTGTTATGAACGACAAGGCTAGCACGTGGGTTATCTTAAGTCGTAATGCCCTATTTTTAAAAGACACATCTGTACATTATTTAAGTCTACAGGAGTAAATGTGCGAGATGTACACACTTTTGCTACCGTTTTTTTGTTGTTGTTGTTGTTTTTTAACTCACTCTGTCTGTCTGTCTGTCTGGTAACACGTTTTTACACGTTATTTCTCCCACACCCCATTCTCCGATCAAGTATAACTTTGCACAATGGATCTTAATCACCAACCGTAAACAAACAACATTTAGCCACGTGATTCTATATATCTTCTATACAAATTATGTAATCCTTAGTGGTTGTCACGTGATACGCATTTTTCATTGTTTTATCAATATTATGACATGGCTAAATGTGTTTATTTACGATTGGTGAATGAGGTCCATTATTGATTTGCGAAGACAATGCATGAATCAACTAAAATAAATAACCAATTAGTCAATTTATTACTGGTTATTAATTATTTTGTTTGATACCAACAAATATGTCGGGTTTGTCACCTTGGATGATTTTACGCATTATGTAGCCTACACCCATTCTGAGATCAAGTTGATACTTTAAACAATTATTTATTGTACCAAACAAAGCAGTTTAAAAAAATTTACGAATTAGGCAATTAATTATAAGTACTTAATTCTTAATTCTTTTGTTTGATATTAAACAGGGAAATAACTTCTGCATTATTGAGAGATATAGCTGTTAGTTCTTCCCCTTAAATAAGTTTTTATACTTTGCTTGTTTGGTACGCCTATGTAAGCTATTCAGACACGATCAACCTCTTATCTTTCGCCTCAGGACCGGACACAACAGAATGAGACTTCCTATATTCCGGAAGCTAAAAATTGGAGCTAATAAAATCTGTCCATTCGGAGTGTCACCAGAGAATGCTGACCATGTCTTTCAAAACTGCATTCTTTATCAAAAAGGCTCGAACAAGACGCTCCCCAAAACAACCCAATAGAAAGAAAACTATATGGACAGCTGCCTGCATTTAGAAACCACTGCATCTCATAAAGGTCTAGTCATATGAACGCTCCAACACAATAATGAGAGCGAGAAAGGAGAAATTATGTCTGTTTGATGAAAACTACGCGTGAACGTATGTGTAAAATATAGGAATGATTCATCTTGTAACAAGTATGCGTATTTATTGCCCTTGTGTAGCCAATATATTGTATCACATGTTCTTTATATAACCTATTTATCATATCACATGCACTTTGTATATTATGTATATAGCACCACGCTCTTTGAATATACATCTTCTTTAAACATGTGTTGCTCAGACTGGTAGTAAATTAAAGCCTTCCCCCGGCGCAAACCTGTCGCTTGAAATTTACGTTAGTTTAGCTACAAGGGGGAAAAAGCTTTTCCTGCGACGCGCTGAAAAAGATATCCCCCATTTACATCCGGTATTAGCAACAATCAAGTCGGACTAAGACTTCTCAGTGTCTTAAAGACAAGACAGGAGCGTAACTCACCACAACAGCTTAGTGAGCGTTGAAATGTAGATATATGAGTGAGTTCCATCAATTCGCCATGTCGTGGCTCTAGAA